GCCTGACTACTCTATTGTCTTTTCCACCATCTACATGCCATTGGCGGCAGCCATTACCGCAACTGAGGTGTCTCGGGGGCCGCGACCTGGTTCCTGGCTGCGTCCAGTCCATCCCCACCATCAGGGGCCCTGGTGAAGGGCAGCCTGGGACTTAGACTCCGCGCCCTGAGGGACTTCGGTCTGTGGGTGGTGGTTGTCGTCAGCCAGTGCGTTTTAGGCCTGTCTGTCCGTTCCTCAGCTCTTGCCCTGACACTTCTCCAGAGCCTCTCCCATCCTCTGGAACTCCCTACCACAGCATGCCCGGTCAGCCCCCACCCTGTCCGCCTTTAGGCGATCTTTGAAAACTGACTTCTTCAGGGAAGCCTACCCCACCTCCACCTAAGAACTGTACTTGAATCACCTCCACCAGATTATCCCCTGTGGCTATCACCTTTTGTATCACCTCCCCCTTCCTTTAGATTGTAAACTGCACGAGCCGGGCCCTCCTATTCCTTCTGTACTGAAATGTATTGTAATTGTACTGCCCCCCTTATATTGTACAGCGCTGCGCAAACTGTTGGCGCAGCGCTGTACAATAGGGGGCCTGAATACTTTATGAATGCACTGTATATGACAAACCTATTTCACACAAGTAAATATAAGCAATTCCATAACTCCTACAAAACATATATGAATTTTTTCCATTGATTTCCTTGTTTACAGCTCAGCTTCGTGATGGGGAGATCAAGCTGATGGACATAAAGAAGCAGCTTTGTTTGAACACCAACGTGGAACTTGCTGGTATGTCCTGTTAGCTACTGTCAGGGTTTTCTTTCAGCAGGAACATGGGGGAACCAGGGGGGGACTGACAACTAATGGGGCCCCCGGGCAATAGGGGATCATGGGGCCCCTGTGTCCTTGCCCAAACTCAAAAAAGCCTATGAAAAAGGTACCAGGGGCATCTCATGGGGCCCCCTACTGACCCCGGGCCCTCGGGAAGTGCCCGAGTTTCCAAATGGTCAGTCCGCCCCTGGGGGGAACGCAGCTCCAGCACCTTTTGCACTGAATGTATGTAATGGCAACAGGTACTGAGGTGTGCTGGAGAGTCTATTGATGCTGGCTGCTGGGGGATCTATTGTTGCGGGGAAGGTATATTGTTGCTGGGGAATCCTGTGTTGCTGGGAATGCTCTACTATTGAGAGAGCAGTCTATTTTTGCTAGCTGCTGGAGGGTCTTTTGATGCTGGATGCTGGAGATCTATTGATACTGGCCGGGGTCTATTGTTACTGAGGTGGATTTATTGTTAGTAAGTGGTATCTATTGTTGCATGGGGATCTATTGTTGCTGGGGAGGGGAGTCTGTTGTTGCTGGCAGCAGGGGATCCATTTTAGCACTTTTCCTATTATCATTAATACATTCCAAAAAAGTTACTTCGCACTACAAAATACTTGGTTCTGTATTCTCTAAAAGGGGCTGTACTGGGAGGTGGGTTGGGGGTGGAGACAAGGAACAGTGCTCAGAGGTGGGTAGTGGTGGGGACAAGTAGTGACTTGGAAGGGGGGAGTACCTGTGCCCAGGGGCGGACTGACAACTCATGGGGCCTACATACCTTTGTAGTACAAACTTACATTGAATAAAATGTAATTCTCACCCTATCTTTTGATCTGGAAGCTTTCAGTGCGGTTCTCTCCTCGCCAAAACTTGAGGCCCTGGACGGTCCCTCAACATCATCACATACACTGCAGGGTTATTAACCCTGCATTGTACAGGAGGAGGCAAGCTTGCAACCGGAGCCTGAAGCACCTTACAGCCAGGGGCGGACTGACAACTCATGGGGCCCCCGGGCAATAGGGGAACATGGGGCCCCTGTGTCCTTGCCCAAACTCAAAAAAGCCTATGAAAAAAGGTACCAGGGGCATCTCATGGGGCCCCCTACTGACCCCGGGCCCTCGGGCAGTGCCCGAGTTTCCAAATGGTCAGTCCACCCCTGCCTGTACCTATTCTCTGAGCAAAAAAGGCCTGGCTACTGTCCATGTGATCTTATCAAGTAGAGAAAAACTGGAATACCCTACAGGAAGAGGAAATGGGCCTTTAAAGGCAAATTGAAGAGGGGAGCGCACAATGGCTTGGTAATGTACATCAGAGAGTTGACTACCATGGCCAGGAAGGTATTTTGGAGCTTTATTGTGCCCTCTCTACATCTGAAAAACAGGTTCAGTTAAAAAAAAAAAACAGATAATGGAGGACCTTGCAGCCTCTCTGTACAACCGCGGGGAAGTTTTTTGAGACACTTGGAGACCATGGCAATATTTTGTCTTAACTGATTCTTATCTTCAGGCACCTTCTGAGCTGGTTTGAGGGGGCTTGACACGTTTGTTGTCATGGTTGGCTTGCTGTTCGGGGCCCCTGGATAGGAGGGCTGATTTGTCCTACTCTCCTACCTCTTCCAGCTTTATTTTCCTTGGTCCCTTCTTGTCTGGTTCTCCCTTGTTTCTGCTTTTCTTCCTTATCCCCTCTCTTTCTGGTTTTCTTCACCAATTTCATCCACCGCTCTCTCTCTCTTGTCCCTTTCCCCTTCCCTTTGTGCCCTGTTCTCCCCCCCCCTCTTTTCTTTTCATGATTCCTCCATGTAACCTCAGTCTTCCTCATTGATTTCTCAATTGATGGGGAATTCTTTGTCTGAATTGTTTTTTTTCAGTTGGTTGCCTGAGATCCTTGGTGGAGTCTCCTTTCCCCATGTCTGAGATCTTGGGATGGCCTGGTTTTGTGTGTGGCCCGTCTAGTTGGTTATCTGTATTTGGACCATTGCCACATCAGCTGGTTGGGGTTACACAGTACCACGCACCTTTTTCCATTTTGTTGTTGCCTATCTCGGTTTTTACCATGCTGCTGTTTGCTCACCTGATTATTGGTTATGTATGACCTGCATATTGCCAGTTGCCATGTGGCTTCTGTGTACCTTATATTGTATGTTTGGCTACATTGCAAAAATGTATAAATAAAGGAATAATAAAAAAAAAAAAAAAACAGACTCCTAAATTTTAGGCCACTAATATGCTTTTGTCTTTTATATCTTCAGACCTACAGTAGGTGGCTCCCAGAGTAGTCACTTTTCTGTTTTATGAGGAGACACAAAGCTCTTCTAAATCAGTTGTAGGTAAGGGTGCGCAGAGGGCGGGGTTTATAGAAAGGAGTATATAATCTATTATTTTGGATTTTGATTAGGGATTGAAGGTTGTTATTCCAAAGCAGAGATTAATGGTCTTGTAATCTCATCCTGCTGGGTGCCACCAGGGGAATGGGCACTGCTGTTAATGATGCTTATTGAGACTTTTAATTAAAATGTACATTCAGCTAACAGTGAACATCAATCCATGAGATGCATACAGGGAGGAAAGCCAACATGCTCTGTACTTTAGCTTTTCATCCAGATATTGCTCTACTAAACCAGTTCCCACCATTACCTTTCATCCATAATCTGGTGATTCTGAGATGAGATGCTGGGACATCCTCATCAAGCTCTTCGCTGCCTGTTACATAGTGAAAACCTGGTGTATAGAAACCCAGGAAAGATTGTTTTCTATCAGCCACCAATCAGATTCAAGTTGACTTAAAAGTGGGAATGAGGTACTCGAATTTCCTTTTTCTATGATTCTGTTTTATAAGACAGTTTTTTTTTTTTTTTTTTACTTTTTTACCTTCTTTTTGATGTATGCTCTGCTTCAGCAAATGGTGCTGTTTTTTTTTGCCTATCTCCTAATAAAAACGTTTGTAAACAAAAAAAAAAAAAAAAGTGGGAATGAGGAGGAGAAGTTAAATGATAAAATCACCAAATCCACCAGTATGTGTCCTGAATGAGTTTTGTTTATCGTTTGTGATCAACAAAATCCGTCAGCACATCTTGAGATTTTAAAGGCTCTGCTTCATCAGGGTTGGAAAATGAGGAGAACTCTGGTAGGGATGAAATATACTTATACCAGCAAGTGGTTTGGCAGGAGCATATATATTATTATATTTTATTATTATTATACAGGATTTATATATTATTATTATTATACAGGATTTATATATTATTATTATTATACAGGATTTATATATTATTATTATTATTATACAGGATTTATATATTATTATTATATTATTATTATACAGGATTTTATATATATATTATTATTATTATACAGGATTTATATATATTATTATTATTATTATTATACAGGATTTATATATTATTATATTATTATTATACAGGATTTATATATTATTATATTATTATTATACAGGATTTATATACTATTATATTATTATTACACAGGATTTATATATTATTATATTATTATATTATATATATATATTATTATTATACAGGATTTATATGGCACTAACAGTTTGCTCAGCACTTTACAATATAAAGGGAGACAATACAGCAACAATACAGTTCAATACAAGAGGGATAGGAGGGCCCTGATCCTTGGAGCTTACAATCTAAGAGGGAGGGGCTGGTGGTACAAAAGGTAGTAATTGTGGGGGATGGACTGGTTGGAGGAGTAGAAGATTCCATTATTAGCTGAGGGCAGGATAGGCTTCCCTGAAGGTTTTCAGAGATCGCCTAAAAGTGAGCAGAGTAGGCGATAGTCTGATAAATTGGAGAGTTCCAGAGGATGGGGGGAAGCTCTGGAGAAGTCTTGGAGATGAGCATGGGAGGAGGAGACAAGGGAGCTAGAGTGCAGGAGGTCGTGCGAGGAGCAGAGAGTATGGTTTTGGGTGATATTTGGAGACAAGATTGGTGATTTAATTTGGGGCGGAGTTATAAATGGCTTTATATGTTATTGTTAATGTTTTGAATTTTATCCGTTGGGTAATGGGAAGTCAGTGGGAGGGATTTGGCAGAGAGGGATGGAGAACACTGAGCGGAGGCCAGTGGAGGGATTGGCAGAGAGGGATGGAGGACACTGAGTGGGAGGCCAGTGGAGGGATTGGCAGAGAGGGATGGAGGACACTGAGTGGAGGTCAGTGGAGGGATTGGAAGAGAGGGGTGGAGGACACTGAGTGGAGGCCAGTGGAGGGATTGGCAGAGAGGGGTGGAGGACACTGAGTGGAGGTCAGTGGGAGGGATTGGAAGAGAGGGGTGGAGGACACTGAGTGGAGGCCAGTGGAGGGATTGGCAGAGAGGGTTGGAGGACACTGAGTGGAGGCCAGTGGAGGGATTGGCAGAGAGGGGTGGTGGAGGACACTGAGTGGAGGCCAGTGGAGGGATTGCCAGAGAGGGGTGGCAAATACAGAAGGGTTAGTAAGGTGGATGAGTCTGGCAGCAGCAATCATGACAGACTGGAAGAGGGGATAACCTGCGATGAGGTTGGCCAATGAGGAGGGAGTTACAATAGTCAAGGCGAGATATAACAAGGGAGTGAATATCTTGGAGATGTTGCGGAGGTTGGAGAGATGTTGCGGAAGTTGGAGATGTTGCGGAGGTGAAGTCTACAAGATTTGGACAGTGATTGGATTTGGGGCTGGAAGGACAGATGGGAGTCTAGGATTACACCTAGTACCCTGGAATGAGGGGAGGGGCTGATGGTTGTGTTACTGATCTTGATGGAGAAGTCGGGGGGGGGGGGGGGGGGCACGGGCTGGAGGGAATAGTATGAGCTCAGTTTTGGAAAGAGATTGAGTTTGAGGAAGTGGAGTGGACATCCATGCTGAGTAGGTTAGTAATGCGAGAGGAGACTGAAGGGGTGAGGTGAGGAGGGAGACTGAAGGGGTGAGGTGAGGAGGAGACTGAAGGGGGGTGAGGTGAGGGGTTAGAGGGATAGATTTGTGTGTCATCAGCATAGAGATGGTACTTAAAGCCATGGGAGTTTATCAAGTGACCAAGTCAGTCCTACCCCAATTCACTGCTACATACTGTATATTCCAATACCTGATCAGTTATCCATAGCCATTACCATTCAAATTTCAGCTTTTATTATTTTTTCAACCCTGAAAAAAGGGAACCTCAAACTCTTGAAATGTGTTGAATCATTTGGATGATTAAGTAAAGATATAATTAAATGTATTCTGGACAGATACCAGTGGATTGGCACTTCCACCATTTACCCTCTCTTCATGCTTCTACAAGGACCCCTCCAGAGGCTCCTGTATGATCAGAGAGATCTGCCTGTCGCCATCCCACATTTACTATCCAGATCCTCCTCTCTATCTCAGTTGTATTATTAATATATTTGGATTTTATAAGCAGTTAAACCATTTTCTTATAGAGTGCACGGTTGTAGTGTGTCCTGAAGGCTGGTTGCGCACAGGCACAGAGAGAATTGTTATTACTTTTCGTATCTGGCAAAGAATACAGAACATGGAATGAGAGCCAGGAAATGTGTTGAAGGGATGGGAGCCGATCTACTGGCATAGAGGACCGGATCAGCAGGTATGGAATAACATGGCAATAGATGTGAAATGGATGGGACATATAGAGATACAGAATTTGAAGAGTAGGATGTGGACTTTCTTAGGCATACACTCAGGCCGGTGCTGCCACGTGCATACTAGGTGGAGGAAGATGCCCGGTGTCTGGGACCAGTGTAGCAGCTGAGCTGCTGTTCCTTCCAGTGTTTCTCTTAGACTCGGTCCCTTACTCACAGTCTCTGCTCTAATCGATCCCAAAAGGTGTTCTGCGGGTTAAGGTCAGGACTCTGTGCAGGCCAGTCAAGTTCCTCCACCCCAAACTCGCTCATCCATGTCTTTATGGACCTTGCTTTGTGCACTGGTGCGCATGTTGGAACAGGAAGAGGCCATCCCCCAAACTCTTCCCACAAAGTTGGGAGCATGAAATTGTCCAAAATGTCTTGGTATGCTGACATGCTTAAGAGTTCCCTTTACTGGAACTAGGGGCCAAGCCAAACCCCTGAAAAACAACCCCACACCATAATCCCCCCTCCACCAAATTTTTCACTTGGCACAATGCAGTCAGGCAAGTACCGTTCTCCTGGTAACCTCCAAACCCAGACACATCCATCGGATTGCCAGACAGAGAAGTGTGATTGGTTACTCCAGAGAACACATCTCCACTGTTCTAGAGTCCAGTGGCGGCATGCTTTACACCACTGCATCCAACGCTTTGCATTGCACTTGGTGATGTAAGGCTTGGATGCAGCTGCTCGGCCATGGAAACCCATTCCATGAAGCTCTCTACGCACTGTTGTTGGGCTCATCTGAAGGCCACACCAAGTTTGGATGTCTTTAGCTATTGACTCTGCAGACAGTTGGCGACTTCTGTGCACTGTGCGCTTCAGCATGCGCTGACCCCGCCCTGTCATGTGACATGGCCTACCACTTGGTGGCTGAGTTGCTGTTGTTCCCAGTTGCTTCCACTTTGTTATAATCCCACTAACAGTTGAGCGTGGAATATTTAGTAGCCAGGAAATGTCACGGATGGACTTATTGCACAGGTGACCACCTATCACGGGACCACGCTTGGAGTCATTGAGCTCCTGAGAGCGACCCATTCTTTCACCAATGTTTGTAGAAGCAGTCTGCATGCCTAGGGGCTTGATTGTATACACCTGTGTCCATGGAGGGGATTGGAACACCTGAATCACATGATATGGAGGGGATTGGAACACCTGAATCACATGATTTGGAAGGCGGGGCCAATACTTTTGCCAAAATAGTCTGTGTGCATGGACGCATAGGATAACATGCTGGGGAGTTTACTAGCTGTAAAAAAAATGCTAGAGGCCCAAAACAGCAGCTGTAAAAACCCCCAGTGTGCATGAGGCCTACATCTCCCACAAATACAATGCTACAAATCTCAAATGAAACAATGTTACAAAACATATAATACAGAATTGCAAAATAAAACGCTACAAAATAAACTGTGTTGTCACTTCGCAGAAATCACAACCAAAACTCCCATCCATTTATTTATATATTTTTAATAGTTTGTTTTTGAATTATGCCTGATGGGTTGTGGAGACTGAAGGGATGGGTTGTAGCTCACCACACACATTACAATCTGATTGTACAATTTAAATCTACCAACAATTATGTAATGTAAAGGTATGACTGATTGGATGTGAATCAGTTGGATGGTTCAAATAGGTCCTTATTCACTTGAGGATTTTGAACATGAGAGGTTCAGTACATCCCAAAATACAACAACGTTTTTAGGATGCGGCTCTTAGGCTCCATGTACACGGGACGTTTGGAAAACACTTCTGAATGATGGAAACTGACTGCTGGAAAACGTAGGTTAAAAAATGTCTGTTTAGCCGCGTTTGCATACCGCGTTTATGAGCATTTAAGAAGCGTTTTTTTTTTTTAAGATAACCTCAGCAGACCTTCCAAAATGCCCAGAATGCACTGAAAAACAGTAAAAAATTAACTATTTCAGACATTTTGAGAGAAATAGAGAGAGCAGAAGCAGAGAGAGCAGTATGTGTTGAGATTAGCTGTCTTTTTTTTTTCTATGTGGTGTTGGATGTGTTTCCGGCTCATTTCTGTGCAGAAATTATTGCAGCCGTGTCTAACATATTTTCTTTCATGCAAAACTTCAAAGTACGGTGTGTACCGGGTAAACGCATTCCAAAAATGTAGATTTGTACTTTTAAAGACATACAGTATATTGGAAATGTATTTTTAAAAATATTTTTCATATATTTTGTAATAAAAACGCATTTCAACATAGTGTGTTTGTGTATGTATGTATGTATGTGTATATATATATATATATATATATCTATCTATCTATATATATATATATATATATATATTATATATATATATATATATATATATATATATCTAGAGAGAGAGATATATAGATATATATATATATATATATATATATATATATATATATTTATATATATAAGAGAGAGAAATCTCTCTCTCTCTCTCTCTCTCTCTCTCTCTCGGGAAAGATATTCTCTCTCTCTCTCATATATATATCTATATCCATCCCTTGGCGATTGCATGGACTGTCACTTGTAAGCGACTTTTTCCATGAATTCTCTTAGCAATTATTTTACAGGGTAGGTTGCCAGGTCTTTCATATATATATATATAACAACAAAGGTCCCTCCCGGCCGCCATTTTGCAATAGGCTGGATGGGAAGTGGTTAAAAAAACTTTGTGTTTTCTTTTATGCCACTTTCATTTTTTTAAGCTTTTGTTTTCTCATTTCACTTTATTGCTATCACATGGGGTTGGGCAGGGACATAATGGAAATGACAGGTCCCCTTTATGAAGACATCAGGGTCTATTAGAGCCATAATGTCCCCCATGGACCTCCCTGAAGTTGAAGTGCAGATTGCACATCACCAGCTTCTTTACCTCTCACAGTATCTGGAGGAAGGCAGACTGACATTGGAGGTGATGAAATCCTCATAGGTGAGATCAGATGGTGTATGTGCGCTGATCTCCCTCTAGTCTACAGCCAGAGATCGCTCATGCTGGTTCTGGGCCCACAGGAGGGACAGCAGAGCCTGGGATATATGGAGGTGATGGGTCGGGGGAAGGGTTGTGCGGTACCATCTCAGGACCATTTAAAAGGCAATTGACAAAAAATTCCAGTTCACAGATTATCAGCTTCAGTACAAATTATGGACTAGACAGATCTCCAGACTTCCATCCAATGTGTGTGTCCCATGTCTGTGTCTGGATTGTGACCGATGATGTTCTGTTGTCTCAGGACTTTATAAACAGGTCCATCAAGCAACAAACAGTACAAGCAAATGGAAGGTTCTGGATCGGTGTGTACAGAGATGGAGATGGATGGAGATGGGTGGACGGTGAGCACTATGATACCAGCCTGTAAGTGACTCTTCATCTACACTGACAATATGAATGTTCTCTATCCAGGAAACAATAGATCCTCATAACTACTCATTGTTATTTATTACCCAGATTTCAGCTATCAGGAGAATTGCCAGGAGACTGCGTACACATGCAAGCAACTGCTAGATATTATAGTGATCGCTGCCAATCCCCACACAACTGGATTTGTCAGAAGAGAGCCCTGAAGATCTGACAGATACCTCCCAACATCCCGACACACTGCTCGATCCATAATACAAAGTAATACATAAACCTCCAATGCATTATATCCTTACAGTCTAGATCAGGGGTCTCCAGACCTTATAAATGAAGGGCCAGTCTATTGTCATTCAGACTTTAGGGGGGCCAGACTGTGGCCAGTGGGAGAAGAAAATGTCCTGACATCAGTGGGAATAAACAATGCCGATGTGTACATGGACACATAGGGGAACATTAGGGAGAGTTCAGGGGCTGCTGAAAAAAACACAGAAAAGCTCCTGAACGTCATTTTATCAGCTGCAGTGTACATGGAGCCTTAAGATTCCCACCGTCTGACAAGTTTTCTATTTGATGCACACAACATTAATGGCAGTTGGTGCCTCGGCTTGGATTGGATGGCTGTTCATGGTTTATGTCCTGGGTTGTTGGGTCGGCTGAATGGCAGTCCAGTACTCAAGGTGACAACAGAGATGCAGGTTATTGTGAATTGTGTTTAGGTACTATGTTT